CATGTCTCAATAGCATAACTCGATAACATAATTGATAGCACTCGATAGCATTTGCGTGATATATTTGCCTCCACAAATGATATACAAATTGCAATCAGGTTGTCAAACTCGTGATAAAGCCAAGTGTGCCGACGTGAATATAAAATTATCGTCATATTTTTTATAGATCGTGAGGTATCTAAGTGTGACGATGTGAACACAAATACGTCGTCATATTTTTTATAGATCATGGGTACCTAAGTGTGATGACGAACTCGTGAACCAATCGTCACTCGAATAACGATGCAAGCGTGAATCATTTGTCACTCGAATGATGGAGCAAATACTAATATATCTCTGACGACGGTGACGCATTTCTGTCGTCACAACACTGACGATGGTGATGCATTTCTGTCGTCATACCCGAGTGGGAATAACCTAGACTAAGTGGAAATAACATAATTATGTTATTTCCACTTTTGCATCTATAAAATCATGAAAATCGACAAGATCGATCTAAACATGCTCCCACGGTGCTGTAGATACTACTGGGGTCATATCAGTTTTTTCTTTAAGGTAAGTGTTCACAGCACAAGAGGCACATTCATTGATGTATACTTGAACCTCCCCTGCATAATTCCAATATGTTGTTCTGAAATCGTGAAGAACATCTTGTGATAGCTACGGTGATTTGCTTGGTCGTGAAAATGTTGAAATATCAAGGTGCGTAATTCCTCGTCATACTTGGGAACAACATTACATTTTTCAGACATAACACCATCTTTCATAATAGCAGAAATATATAAGATTTTATTTTCATCTATCACAAATTTATTGCATCGACGAATAAAATTCGGTTTGGTATTTTTTTTGTCTCTTAGAACATCTGCAGGTACTGTTTTTGAATAAAGATATTCTACAATCGCTTGGTATTCGGCCACCGTTTTGGGGATTTTTGGAATTGCCGGCAAAAAAATTTATTTTTTTTTTTTTTATAAAAAAAAAAAAAAAAAACATTTTTAAAAAAAAAAAAAAAAAAAAAAATTTTAAAAATAAAGACAAAAAAAAAAATAAGATAAAAACTGCAAAAACAGTGAATACATGCTTTTGTTTATACCTTGGTTTCAGAAAAAAAAAAACAGAACAACGACTCAGCTTGGGATGGTAGATAGGTATTGCCTTGTTTTTTCAAAAAAAAAAAAAAAACACCACAGATAGATTCTGAAGAAAGTGCGAGAGGAACTCTATTTAAAACCGTCTTGGGCAGTACGTAGGTGAGTATTGCAAATATATACAATGTAATTTTAAAAAAATTTTCGTATAAAAAAAGTCGCCCATACCAAGGTATTGTGGGCAATGAATAAGCGTCTAAAAAACAATTGTTTGTTCTTGAGAATTTTTATGCACAACATGCATAACAGCGGACCGTATCGGGTGTGTGCGTACGTGCGTCGACGTCAGTGTCACATGGCGTACGATCTTCATTTCCGACCCGGGTTTGTCACGTTAGCTTCAGCATCAGCCGTGACAATGATTATGGTCACTATTTAACTCAAAGGTTGTGAATTACGCGCGCATTTCTACGTAGTTCTGAGCACATTGTACACATATACACTGCTGTACGTACGACGTAATATAAAAATTTAACATTAATTTCAACATTCACATTACTTAATTTTTTTGCATAGTAAATTCACGAATCATATCATGTAAATATTAAGTTTAAACTTTTGTAACATTAAAATTTCTTTATTAGTTAATAAGTAATAAATGTTTAGGACTACGTACATACGTACGTATCGGTATTAATTATTTTTAATTTTCTGTAGATCAAGTAAAAAAAAAACAAACATTTTTTTTTTTTTTGAGCATTACTAAAATTGATTAGTTCGTGAAGTATAAACACTGGAAATTTTGTGTTTTTGATATACAAATATTTGAAACAACAGATCTAAGCTACAAAATCTAACAATTTTTTAAATAGAGGTGCAAAAAAAACAATAAATAAACAGTAAAATCTTTTGTACTAAAATATATATATACATATATATGATAATTTGTTACAACTTTAATAAATAATGGCAAATTATTTAGATTGTTCAAAAGTTGGCCATGGTCCATTTTTAGGGCATTGGACGGTGCGCCAAGATATGTTGAGGACTCCTTGGTCAAGTTCACCAAGCGCAGCGAAAGCACCAGGGGTTAAATCGATGCAACCAGGTTCACAACCTGCACATATATCGATGATTTTGACGCAAATTGTTTTTCCTGACTTGTTATTTTTGACCTCGATACATTGATAACACATATCAAGATTACCCGTCATTAGTATTGCTGCAATATAATCAGATGATTTGGCATTATAGGGCTGAAGACCGTTACGTCCGTAGCAAGCAGCATTATGGAGCTGATCATCCTTGTAGAATGTTGTTTTGACGTCTGATTCTGATTTGCTTTCAGTTTTGATTGTGGTTGAGGTTGTGTTTTTTGATTTGGTTTCTGTTTGTTCGTAATTGGTTCCTTTGTTCTTTTTTCTGTCTGCACCATCAGCGGACAAGGGATCAGGGTCAGTCACCAAGCTTGGGGTACTTTGGCCAGGAGCAGGAGCAGGAGCGTTGTGTTGGTTATTTGAGTCAGAAACAGGAGAGTTATTTGTGGTATTTTGGGTATTTGGGGTATTTGGGCCAGAAGCAGGAGAATTATTTGGGGTACTTGGTCCAGAAGGATTAGCTGGAATGTCATCACGCCGACTATGTGATATAGGATCAACAATTGGTTTTGCTACACCCGAGTTCCAAACAATGCCATCACCAGTACTATTACCATCGTCTCTTTTAAGAAGCGGACTAATTAGTGCTGTACCCACATTCCAACCCTGATTGTTATTGTTATGACCATTTTTATGATTTCCAGTACTTTTATGATGTCTTTTAAGTAATGAATCACCATAATTAGGTTGAGAAAAAGGTGCTGCTGAAGACGAAGCAACAACAGTAAGAAGGAGACTCAATGAAAGAAAAATTGAAGAGGATTTCATGTTTGAATGTGTGAGATAGGTTTTGTCCAGCGGATTAGTAGATTGTCTCAAATTCTATGGAGACCTTAATAGAGGTTTAGAAAATTTTGAAAACGGCTCGGGAAAGGTGATAGAATGATAGGAAAGAATATTTGACTTTAAAAAGTCAAATGAAGGGAAGGTATGATTGAAATTTCGTTATAGATGTGGTTAGCCGTAAGGGGAGAAAGGATTGAAAATTTTTGTTGCTTCCAAAGACAGCAACGAGGGGTCTTTAAGTCTTTTTTTAAAGCTAAGAAACTAAGGTATTACGCCAAGACTCATTTAGAAATCGGATTTTCGTTTAAAAATCATTATTTTCTTTGTCACATGCTCGTGGTTTTATTTGTTGGACCAATTATGTCGGTAGAAACTATAATATTGAGAATTACAAGCATATTTGCGTCTGACAAATTTATTACGATCGAATTATTTGCATTATCTGTCTTCATTTCACCTGCACATAATTTATTCGCGAAAACACTATAATTTCATTCTTTCGGGTTATTGGAAACTGACTAATGATCTGTTAGATTCATGCTGATCTAGACAGGTTTATGCATATTACATATTATGCATTTATGTAACTCTTAAAGGTATTTTTACGATTTCATTAATGCAAATAATACATAATATCCAACGATCGTGTTGTTTATTGGTATAATCTTTTTTTAGGAGTTTAATATAATTTGTGAGACAAGATGTAAACAAAAATGCAAGTAATCGTTCAATCACGTTTGGTTTGACAATTTTTTTGGTTCTCGGTTTATTGAATTTGTGAAATCAAACCCCTTTTGTTAATTTATCTTTGCATGTAATAATTTGTAATTACGTACTGTCTTAACTGACTAAACAATTCATATACATGTTATAAATAAATATATATAATATATATATATATATACCTGTATGTATGTATGTATACTAAATTTGTTATTGTTATTGTTCAAATTGTTTACGTAGATTGTCTAAATTGTTTAAATTTTTATTAATTATTACGTATACAACGTATACTATATTATTATTATTAAAATTATTAAAAATTATTAACGTTAAAAATTTATTAAAAAAGTAGTTTGGATCCTGTCGATGTCGATACGCATAATCTGCATGTATATTACATGCATGCAGACTTTTCGAATTAGTTAAACACTAACAAGGATACTACTGCTATTGTATTTAAAACAACGGCTTTTATACTTTTCTATCAAGTTACACTCTCTGTGCGTTATCCGTGAATAGGGGATGAGGATGCTGTCGACTTATTTGACCATATTCATCAATCAGTTTTTATAATAGCAAATATACTAGTCGGGTTATGCCGTTAACCTCCCTACTCGTGAATAGATTAGTGTAAGTACAATAAAGTTATCCATTTCAATATCATCATAAACAGTCGTGTTAGTTTAATAATAAATAATCAATTATACAATTATCCATGAGGCTGATTTGTTTGTCAATAGAAATTTACAACTTTTTGTTCTTTGTCGACATTTTTTTTCTAAAAAGAAAACGCCCAACAATCAATTCTATCAATGTATGACTAACAAGTCTTATTCGTATATTTTAGTCAAAATACAGTCAGACCTCTCTAAGTGTACGCCCCTGGGACCACACTTTAACAACGTGCATTTTGGAGAATAATAAGAAAAAGTACATTTATGGAGGTCAAGTATATATTTGAGCCAGAACTTGAGTGTGCATTTAGCACTTATAGAGGGTGCACTTAGAGAGGTCTAATTGTAATTAGAATAAATGCTAGATGAAAATTTAATAATTAGATTCTTGATAATTGATATTTGTCCTTATCGTTTTCTTTTATACAACCGCAATGTTAATTTAGTCTTTGAAATTTAATTATCATATGCTTCAAGAGAACAAACAAATAATGCATTATCACGTATGTGTACATACATATCTATACGTACGTACGTACGTACCTTTCTCCACAAAAAAATAAAAGATCCTAATCGCAAGTGAGATTTCGTCACTGTCCGTTAACTTAAAAGATTGTTTAGCAAAATGCAAATAGTTACTATTTATTAAAAATGAGCAATTCGATTATGCCTTTCTTTGTATTCATTATAGATTTGTC